ACATGCAGATTGAGAAGCCAGTTGTGTGAGAGCCAGCTGCCAAATCACTGGGAAACACATCCTTGCCAAACATCTTTCCCCAAAGCTGTTTAATCCCTCTACTAACCTCCACCCCGCAGCCTTCTGGCATATGCAAGCAGCATCAGAAGCTGGTAAACGAAGGGAAAGAAGAGTAGTACTTTGAAAATATGCACAGAATTTCTACAGCAGGCTTTTTGCATCTTGCCTGCAGAGCTGTCCTATCAAAAGACGCCCGTCATGCAGCTGACAACACCAGTGCAGGGTGGTGGTAGCATCTTGGGAAGGCAGGTTTCTTCCCTGTGCTGCAGAAGGGAATGGACATCAAGAGGGGATGGGACTTGCCTGAGGTTAGAGCAAATGTGCACCACGTGCCAGCAGCAGCAAGGGACCCCGGATCTCATTCCTGTGCATCAGCAGCCCAGCAGACTCTCCGCCGTAGTATTTGGCTGCGGTGCCATCGCGGGGACACGGTGTTTCTGGTGTGTGCATCTGAAAGCGAGCTTTGCTTCCTGCTGGTATCAGCACTGCACTGAGACAGATTAACTCGGACAACTGGGATCTGCCCTAGGCCAAGACAGCGCTTGGCAACCTTTCTAGTTACTGCTTGTTTTCCTTTTCCTGTCGTTCCATCTGGTGCCCAGCTGGGTCCTTCCTTTCTTCAAAAGCATCTTCATGTTTCTGTTGAGTCACATACAGGGCGCTGTACTTTTCAAGCCTCCTGCATGCTGTCGTGCAGCTGGCAGGCCAGCCTGAGGACAGGCTCTGCATGGAGAGGAAGGGATTCTGCCCAGGATCGCAGACCAGCGTGTCAGCCAGAACACCGCTGAGCAGAGCGGGTCCCTTGCTTTGGGGAAACGAGCTGCAGAGACAAACCAGAAGCATGAGTCCATCCTGTCCATGGGGGAGCGTCGTAAAGTCCTTTTCAAAGTCCATGCAGCAGGCTTGGCCGCCTGTTTTTGCAGTCGCAAGGCATCTGCAGGCAAGACAGCCAAGAACAGCACAGCAGACCCAACGGCCAAGCGTACGTGTTGGGGGTAGGCATGCAGCAGCGTCAGATGCAATCCAGTGGCGCTTCCAAGGGTTGGCTTCAAGACATGTCACTTACATCAAATGAGCCTTTGGGACGGTCGCCTGGACATCAGCCTCCTTTCAGCCAAGGTTTATTTACAAACACCAGAAAAGCAGACTAGACCATGCTATCTAAAGACCTTTCTCTACACTAGGAAGGTGTTCCTCCTCACACAGACATGTGGAAATAGGGAGTTTGAAGACTGGAGAGACGAAGTTGAGTGCTGAGACCCTGGACTTCCAAGACAGCTCACATTAAAGGGCAAAATTAACATCTGATACAAGGAAAGGACTTGTTTAAACTCCAGTAGTTTGGTGACTGAAATTACATAAAATCCTAACAAAAAGCCAGTCTGGCTTTAGGAGGTATCAGATACAAATCCCTTTGTGGAGGCACCAGCATCCATGTCCTTAAATCCCATTTGTGTGGTAATTTCGAGGGACATTGGTGCAGTCTTTCATACTGCATGATGCTCCTCCCCTTGGTATTCTGCACAACTTTGGACTGCAAATGGGGCCTGAGAAGAACATCTGGTTTGGTGTAAAGACTGGAACAAGGAACTATTTCCTTTCTGGCATGCAATCTGCATTTAGGAGAGTGCCCAGCAGCTCTGCAGAGCTTTATAGTGCTGTGACAGAGAGTCAGGGCTCATGCTCTTTGCTTTTGCCTTCTCCAGGCCATGGCAGCAGAGACTGGTCTAAGGAGAGCAGTGCCAGAATGACCACATATCTATACACCTTCCTGGGATGTCATCACAGCGTAACCTCCAACGGGGGCACAACGAAAACCTGGCTGAAGCAAAGGTCTGAACACAAGACCAGAGAAGGGGAGCCAGCCCCACCTGCAGTTAATACATGCTGATGGGCCGTCCACACTATTCCGTAACAAGCCAACAAACACGCCGCGTGGTCACAACCTGCTTAAGGGGCTGCGGTTCAGAAGGGTTAGTGTTCAATTTCCTGATAGCCACATGTGCATTGCCTTAATCCATTCAGCCTTCCTGATAATGACCCTACACAGGTAACTACTTTTCCCCACCCTTTCTACTTTATTCCCCTAATAAAATATATGAACACAAAGCATAGAGAGGAGAAGCCAAAAAATTGCCATTTTATGGTCCTGTACTGTCATGCCAAATGACCTATTTGTGCAACCAACTCCTGTGCACAGGGAAAAACACTTGGCTAGTGCTTCAGTCTGTATTTGGAGGAAGCACCAGCTGTAACATCTGAATTTGTCTCCCTCCCTAAAGGGTTGTGCTAGAAGTGGATGCACATCTCACAATGCAAAGGGCTGAGGGCAGTTGTGGGGTTGCAGGGTTGAGGAATGCCTCAGGGCACATGGCAGGCGAAAAATAGCAGCAGGGGCAATAAGAGGACTTGGTTGTGGTGCCATGGGGCAGTGGTTATCAGGGAAGGTCTGTCCTTCAGAGGAGAGGTGTTAACCCTGGGAGATAGTGTCAGCAAGCTTCATTCTGTCTCTGACCAACCATGACGATTAGCCAGTGTAAACAGACAGCTTGTTGCTCTAGCAGGCACACTGAAATGCTCCGAGCTCCTGAGCATGGGCTGTGGGAAAGGCTGAGTGTGTGCAGCCCGGCTGGAAGGCACAGAGACTGACCCAGGAGGATTAACTGATGAAGATGTTCATGGTACCCATGCGGAACTGCAGTCCCTCTTTAGAAGAGTGAAGATTGGAAGAGTCTCAGTCATGTCCTGTGGGATTCAGTCTGACCATGGTGTTTGTCAGGTTTTGACTACATTCCCCATTAAAAAAACACGACTCCTTAAGGAATGCGGGTTTTTTTTCCCCCATTTATCTTTTCTCTCTACACAGCAATGTTAGAGCTCTTCCCCCACCTCTAGAAAACTTGCGAAACTCAGCCTGAGCTAACACTGGAGAGGAAAGCAGGCACACGAAGGAAGAAGAGAAGAATTGGAGACGTGATTCTTAGTGTTTCTTTAGAAACGTGTTGGAAATATTCCCCCTCAGCATTACCAGGTGGTGAGAAAGGGAGAGGAATTCACTTGAGGAACACTCTTCCTAGGGGACCTGGCAAGATAACCAGCACTTCTGCACGAGGAGGCATGGATGCTCGGATAACAGCACCACTCAGTCCTCTTTCTGCAGCCTGGGGGCAGGGTGGCAGCGTGCTGTTTTAGGGGTGGGCATGGGGCAAACACAGCCTCAACAGTTGCCCCTATCAGCTAGTGAATAATAAAGCCCAGTAATCTTGTGTGCCTGCTCTTCTGCTCATGTTGTGGATGGTAGTGTGCTTCACACTCACAGAGTGAAACCCCAGGATGTTAAATAAATCTCGTCCTAATCACGTAGAGGACCTTCTAAAGACAGCTCACTTCATGCAGAATTTGGACGGGGCACCTCTGTGTCAGGGTAGAGCCTTGTGACTCAGGGATTCTGATGGTAAGCTCAGAATTGCCCTTTCTTTTTCCCTTTCCCAGGCTATAAAGCAAGTGATCATCCCAGGAAAGCGGCCCTTTCTCCTGGCAGGGCAGGAAAACACACAGTGGTGCCTGTGGCAAAAGATTTCCACACCAAGAAAAACGCCAGCCCATCCCTTGCCTGAGCCCCGCAGATGCTGACGCCAGCCAACAGTGTACGACCGGCCAGGGAGAGGACACGTTTCCGAATTCCAGAAATGATTTTGCACTCAAACCAGTCTGATAGTGTTCAGCCCAGCAACCTAATGCAACACCAGGTTCCCTGATTGTTCCAGCACCAAACAAAGGCAAGCGCTCCTGACATGGGACAGCTCTAACACAGACCAAGCCTGGTTCACAAGTGGGCAGAGACGGGATAAACAGTAGTTTCCCCTCATGGGTTTTTTTCAGCTGAAGCTGTTCATAATCCTGCTGTTGCTGAAAACTCCCCTAACGCCTGACACCATTACACAGATGCCTTCAGCGTTAACACATCTCTCCCACAGGCACCAAGAGATGCAGTGTCAAGGGAATATCAACAGTCAAGCACTGTAAAAATGTGCTTTCTTCAATTAGCTTTTCTGGCACTGACCTTCAGACTACACAGCTCTAGTCCTGTCTCATGCAAGGCTCATTTTTTCTTAGCTGAACAAAGATTAAGATTTTTAGAAGCAGATGGGTCTCACAGGAATTAAGTATAGGATGAAGTCAGTATGTGTGGCTGGACTGAACTCAGAAGTATGGTATTCTCGGGCAAGGACCGAATCTCTGAAGAGCACGGATGGGTTGCAGATGGAATCTGATGTGTTTGGTGATAATTTAATGTGGAGCTAAGGGCAGATTGCATTGGATATGTGACAGAAGTTAGTACTGACCCACAGTGAAATGCCACCTACTTGTCCTCTTCACAAGTGAATGAATTGTGTCACGCTAGTCCTGGCTAGCCTTGCCATGAGAGAGGATGCCCTGCTCCGTTCCCATTCCTGTGCCCCAGTTACAGTACAGTTTCAGTTATGCAAATGAAATAGGTTTAGTGAATGAATTAAGAACTGACCTTCTCTCACTGGTAAACCCCCCTGACACCTCAGACTCACCCCTGACCTCACAGATGGATTGGTTTTGGTGAGCAGGATTACCTGCAGCCCCACCCTGACCCTTCCCATTCTGGAACAGACACATTACAAAATATCCCCAGTGCCTATACAATCCAAGAAGGTATCTCTGGAGCCCTTTGCATTAGCTCTCTAGACCAGTCAGTTCTGCCAGGCACTGCCTGGCACTTTGAGCAACTTGTTATTTTTTGTTCAACCATAGTTTAAAATAACTTATCAACCAATCATAAAATGAATTTTTTGGTTTCTCCTGGCTCCATGAACACAAAGAGGTGCACGTCCTACCATAGGAGGAAGCAATGGCTGTTAAGTTTTACAGTTATAGTGGAAAGCACTGATCACAGCCTGCCGGCCTCACTACTGGATGTGACAGGCGGTGGAGGAGGTGGCTTGGCAACACATGCAGGTAGGGTTGACTGATTTAGGGGGGATTAGGTCGAGGTCCTCGTCATCTGGGATCTCATCTAACCGGTACCCATCCTTTAGCAGCTGGATGTTCAAGTCTTGGTTGATCTGCTATAGACAAAGAGACAAACAGTCAAACACTTGAGACTTGTTCTGATGGTCGGAAGGTGAAGGAGGTCCCTCATTCTGGGATAGATTTCCCCATCATCAGCAGCTGCCTCACCAGTGAAAGAGTCCCAGTTTTTGACCTCAGGTGAGGGTTGCCTTCTGTTCTAGTTTCTTCCAGAATAGGAATATCTCACTCAAGATATTCCAGAGTAGCAAGTTGATACACTATTTTATTCTGGAATAATCTTTTCATGAAGACAAGCCCTCATTTAAAGTGATGCAATAATGATATTAAACAAACTGGCAGCGGGAAAGTCCCTCCTCTCAGTCTGGGGCACACTGTAGGTGCTGAAAAGTGGTAAAGCCTCTTGGTTCTTTCTAATCTCAGATTCAAGTCTTGTCTAACCAGATCCGGGTGAAGAACACTTTGTGGGACCCAGAGTGGCCCAGATAATTTGATCTAGTCCCTGCTCTTGGCCATTCCTTTGTGTTTCAGATGTATTTTGCCCAAGGAAGGGAAACAAAGGGGAAGAGTTCCCAGCAGCTTGGGTGCAGAATGGCTGCTCAGCACCCTGGACATAAAATCGGATCCTGCAGAAGCAATAGCCAGAGGCTGAGAGCTAATTCGAGAGATATTTTAGGAATATATTCAGACACAATGCAGACGGATTAACAAGACTGAGCTTCCTGTCGTTTCTCTTTGAAAGGGCAAGAGTCATATCTTCAAGTCCTCCCTGGAATTTCTGTCTGTTCCAAGTAAACATGCACTGGGTGACCCTGACCACCCCAAGGACTGGAAATCACAGCACACCCTCAGATCCTTCATTTGTGCCCTTGGCAAGCATACGGGTGCTGAGCTGGCGTGACAGACAAGTTGATGCTTTTGTACCACGATGGCCAACACTGCGGGATTCGGCAGAACTGGGAAAAGCTTGAGGGAAGCCAAAGGTAGCTGTGAAAACAGACGACGGGCAGATCTCTGTGCCAGGGCAGTGTAGGGATGGAGCCAACTGGATCACCACGGGAGAAAGAAACATGACAGTTTCTGCCATGGCCCCTTCTTGACTCAGAGCGTCTACACCTCTGGTAAATTTCATATACAAGACCACTCTAAGCTGTTTCTAGCCTCTCTGCCATTACTATTCATGTCAAGGATGGCAGGAGAGAGTATAACTCACCTCAGCTGATGAGTATCCCGAGGAGGAATATCTGGACATGTCAAAGTCATCATCACTGCAGGGAAGGACAAGACATAGCAAAGAAGGAAACAGTTAGAGACACCTGTATTCCCTGCTTAGCACTACCTTTATCATGCCATCAAGCTGTCCTTGAGGCACAGAGAAGTTACATCAAGGGAGCCTGGACAACCACTTTCATCTGTGACACTCAGATCTTTCCACCACAGTGCTCTTCACTCACATCTCTTCCTACTTGTTTACACACAGACACCAGTTACAGCACATGCCAGAGGGAATGGAAGGAAGGAAGAGTTCAAGCAGCCTGCAGGAGCGGATTCATCAGGAGTTAGCTTCAGTGCTGCACTCTGCCAAGAAATCTCACTTGCACCGTAATGTATATCATCTTATTAACACTTTGCATACCTGTCCGTATCCAGGGCTACCAGTGGCTTTTCATCTGGACTCTGGTCTAACGACGAATAGCCCTTATTGGGAACGACGAGCCTGAAATAATTAAATGTTGTCCATTAAATACACAGTAAAGCTCAGTATCACCCATAGTCTAGAGCAAAGCTTCACCACAGAATCACAGAATCCTAGAATG